ATGCAGTCTAATGTTCGACTTGGTGACTTTCATTTTAGTATGATGATTCTTTTTCGTTATTTTAGGTTATTGTGATGCAGATCAAAGATGTGCACGTTATCTTTCACGTGCTGGTGACTTGGTTTATTCAAAAGAGTGGTAAGTATACTCATAAGACCAGTGAAAGTGTACTTTTTGTAAAGAAATACATTTTTTACAAATGATAGAACTCAATTGTTATTAGTCAGTAGCTGGTCAGTAGGGTTTATGACTAACCGCGTCAATAGGCCAAATGATTGGAAGGGTACTAGTTTGCAATGGAGGCTTATGCGAGAATATCATTAAAACGAGGTTAATGTTATTTGCATTTGAAAAAAATCCCTGCATTAGCCTCAGTTCCAAGCTAGTTCCAGTCCAATACCGAGAATACAAAAAAATTGCATAGTTATGAATCCTCCGTAGGAAAAAGATGGCAACTGATACATTTACCCATAGTTCTTAGCGCACGAAAACCTTAACAACGTTCATAAAAACGTACAGAAACGTTACAAAATCTTCAAACCTAGGCTACTTAATGTCCTTAGCACAGGGACAAACATTGTAAAAATTTGGCTTCCTTTGTGTCTTTTAGGCTGTGTTAGGTTCGCAAGGCATTGTGGTAAAATGTACAGCCGCCATCTTTTTTCCTACGGTGGATTCTAACTTGCATCGCTTTTGCAAACTTAGCAGTTGCGACGCCTTTATACAAGTTTGAGATTCTCACTGTTGTTTACTTGAACAAAGTTAGGAGTACGATAGTAGGATTTACCTAACGCGACCACATATATAGCTGCTATTAGTACTTTAGCATAGATTTTGACACTGAAATGCACAAGAAAACTCAATTTTTTTTTCTAAGACCAAGAGATTATCGAGACACTTGTTTTCTTTTACATTCCTTATTTTCCCTTCCGTCAGGAAACGGTTCTTTCCATAAAGATGTCCTAGTTGAAATAACTGTATGCAAAAGCGTAATCATATTTTTAAAAGCCGTGGTCTGCTGTGCTAGCGAGATTGCGCGCGTGAGTGTTCGCTTCAGCAACGGAGCCTACAACGACAACAGCAAATCCGAGAGAGGAATGGGGGGTATGGAAACTATTTAACAAGAAGACTGAAGACAAATCCAAGCGTATTCAAAACACAATATTTTTCTCTCTCAGTTGGCAAGCATCTTCTTGTTGCTTACTGGGGCCAGAACAGTTCAGGAGGGAAGTTTCCCCAGAATCCTGAGAAAGATCTCAAGGATGTCTGTGCAGAGAGAAAATACGACATTATAGTGATTGGATTTGTGGTGACATTTTTTGGAAAGAACAATAAAGGTAAGTATCCATAATAAATATTGTTAAATCTTTAATCAAGCTAAAGCTAGGGAACCATAAGCAGCATAACTACCAAAGTTTAAAAGAAGGCGTGAAAGTCACTCTCTAAATTAAATAAATAAATAAATTAACTTTGTTTAACGAGGGTAACACACAACAGTCTTACGACTGACAAACCCGTAGCCCTCGAATTCCCCATCGAATTGGGATTTAGAAATGTTGATTTTTGTGGAGGGAGGAAAACCGAAAAACCCGGAGAAAAACCCTCAGAGCAAGGCGAGAACCAATAACAAACTCAACCCACTTATGACACCGGGTCCAGGATTTAAACACGGGCCACATTGGTGGGAGGCTAGCGCTCTCACCACTGGGCCGCCCCTGCTCCTCTATTGCTAAATGTTTATTTATATCCGTGACAGGGTTTTTTTTTAACCAATATTTTTTTCTCGAGATTTACTTTGTCCTGTCAGTAATCTGTTTTATTGACACTAAGCCTGCAACGTCTTGATCATTACATGCTG